ATTAAAAACTAATTAATAACTCAAGTAATTTATTTTAACAAAATGCAATAGAAATGCATCTTAAATTTAAGATTAATCATGATTAATTCAGCCCTAATATACATATTGTACAAGTCTGCAGAGGTTTTAAACAATAAGCTGATCAGAACCGTTTCTGGGTCAGTCTAAGAACTGATGAATGGATGAAACTGAGGACAGGTCACAGGTGAGCTGCTCCTACCTGTAGGCCCAGGGGGAGATGCTGAGCAGGTTGACCGGGAGGCGGCTCTTGACGTCGGTCCGGGTCCGGGTTCCGGTCGGACAGCTCAGGTTCTGTTGGACCCGGGGCTCCAGCTGCAGGGCGTGGTGAAACGCGCTCATCACACCCACAGACAGCCGTCCGAACATCTGCTCCAAAATCTCCTCCGGCAGGTCCGAACAGGTCCTGGTGGCCTTCTTGCGGACCCGGTTCGGCCCTGCCGGACAGTCCGGAACCAGCAGGGCCAGGTGCAGCAGCAGCAGCAGGACGCGGATCGGACGCAGCATCGCCGCGTTCTTCTGGGTCTGGTGTTGTGCCAAAACTCGCATCCAGCAGGGAAGACCGTGCTTCTCACCTGTCCGACCACAGAGCAGGTGAGGAGAGCTTCACTGYAGCTCCTCCTCCTGAGGATGAGGATGAGGAGGATTTAATCCAGGACTCTCCGAGGCTGCGGCACCACAGACCCGACACATGTTCTGTCTCCTCAGGGTTTACAGTCGAATCAAAGGCCAGAAGTTATTCATAAAATGAACATTTTATATTTAACTTCYATTTAAAATAAGGAAAATATCACAAAGAAACATCTCCGGGTCTTTTTGTATCTGCTGCGTAAAGTCCGCTGGAGACGGTTTGTGCGCAGAGGAGCAGCGGAGCGGAGGAGCGGAGGAGAGGAGTGCGCAAATCCAGAGGAGACAAATGTTCCGGAGAAGCTGAGGGTCATGGCAAGTCCAGACTGCTGTCAGTGTGAGCTCTGCTGCTGGATCAGGACTGTTCTGCTGCTGGATCCGGACTGTTCTGCTCCTGGATCCGGACTGTTCTGCTCCTGGATCAGGACTGTCCTGGATCAGGACTGTTCTGCTGCTGGATCCGGACTGTTCTGCTCCTGGATCCGGACTGTTCTGCTCCTGGATCCGGACTGTTCTGCTCCTGGATCCGGACTGTTCTGCT